TAGGTCACGTACAAAAGAGAATGGGAACTCGTCTTCGTGCACTAAAGAAAAACACGAAAGGTCTTGGAGGAAAAGGTAAACTAACGGGCAAATGTATAGACGAGTTGCAGACATACTACGGTTTAGCCATCAGGAGAAATGCGGATTCAATGGAAAAAATGAAAGCAGCTATCTGGGCGACGTTTCTTCATAAAATTTCAACAGATGAAAAACCACAACATGAAAACTGTCCTTCTGGAGAAGATTCGTGGTGCTCCTGGCAACGAGCGTATGCTACCAACACTCTTACTGGCTATAAACATAAGACTGCTCTTCCCCAGAATATCCAAGATGCAATTCGACCCATCTATGAAGATTTGAGCAGAGACGATTTGTTGTCAAGGTGTGTTGGCGGATATACGCAGAATAACAACGAAAGCCTGAACGCTCTTATCTGGAAGATTGCTTCAAAAGAGACTTATTGTACTGCTGTAACTGTTGAAATAGCCGCATACATTGCAGCAGCAATCTTCAATAAAGGTCATTTGAGCCTGTTAACAATGTTGCAGACATTGAATGTGTCTATAGGTAATGCAGCCTATAACATGTGTCAGGAAATCGATGCCCAACGGATTTGCACGGCTGAACTTAGGACGCTGGAAGCGACAAAAGAGAGCCGAATTCGTCGCAGACAAAATCGATTACGATTGCTGGACGGTCATACTGTAGATGAAGGTCAGCTTTATGGCGCAGGCATCGCCGATTAGTGGTAAGTAACATTTTTCTACACGTTTACTTTTGCAAAACTTTAAACGTATTTTTCTCAAAACACGACTTTTAAATACGGTGGGCACGATAACTACCTCACCATTTGTCCGATTAACTTCATCTTGTATATACGCGTTCCTCATATGATTCTTTATCGGTTGACGAGAGCTTTTTTTGATAAGATCAACGATGTTAAATATGATCAAGAAATATAACTCCTTTTTCGATCAAAATTATAACAAGTTTTTCAAAGTACAACCCAAGCGCAATAATTTTTTTTTTTTTAATTCCCTCGTTAACCGTGAAGTAGGGTCCCAAAGAACAACAGAAGCTCAAAAAATTTTGTTTCAGATCAATTCTAGAAGCTGAACAACACCCACCACTTCTTCCTGCGCGAAAAAGGACGTCCTACCTCAATGCAGTTACAGACGTCATATTTTTCTGTATTTTGTATGTTTCTCCATTTCTGTAAAACTTAACCTTTGTAATAGAAAAAAAAACAATTTAATTGATCTAATAATTTTCTAAGAATCCCCGGTGGTAGTTATACCATTTTTCAGAATCGATAAACGTATATGACCCCTTAAGGAAAAGATGAAAGTGAAAAGGAAACGGTAGAATTATAACAGAGGAAGTAAGGAAAAAGATACATTGAAACTGAGTGAGAATGTTCTGATAAGAGAAGGAAAAACATCGACTCCAAGATAAATTATAAAAAAAATATGACAAAACACCAAGATCATATATGGTAACGGATGAGACTAATAATGTATATAAAAGAAACTCGAGCTTTTTAAAGAAATCTTTGAATAAGACTAATTTCAAAAATGTACGTGAAGATGAGATTGAGTTATATACGAGCAAGGAGACACATCAATCAACAAATGCTTTAGAATGGTGGACGTCACAAAAAAATATTACTGAAGTTAAAAAGCTATCACCAAACTTTAAAATAATTATGTACAGTTTGTTTTTGAATTTGTACCAGTTGAACTTTTTCACCCTACGCAACGAACAATTTTGACATAAGAAACTGCCAACAAAACAATCGCAAAAACAAAAATTTGCACGTACACATGCGTTCTATAAAGAACCACCTTGTTTCATAGTAAGACAGATGTAAAAATGCTCTTTTCCTATTATTCTTGAGAGAACGCTTGTGTACCTATCCATAGCACAGCTTTACAATGGTGGTCGTCACAAAAAAATATTACTGACGTTAAGTAGCCATCACCAAACTTTAAAACAATTTATTATATACAATTTGCTTTTGAATTTGTATCAGTTGAACTTTTTCACCCTACGCAACGAACAATTTCGACAAAAGAAACTGCCAACAAAACCGCAAAAACAAAAATTTGCACGTATACATGCGTTCTATAAAGAACCACTTTGTTTCATAGCAAGAGAGATGTAAAAATGCTCTTTTACTATTATTCTTGAGAGAACGCTTGTGTACCTATCCATAGCACAGTCATAAATGGCTGATTTATAAATGCACAGTGGGAATGCAAAACTATTAAGATATCTCAGCAGCGTTTTGTAACAATAATAGCCAAAGTTATGTCCACTGCTGATCTGATGATATATACACGCCAACGTAAAAGGAACTTTTAAAGTTTGATTAACCCAGTCCATTAAATATTATACAAAACATGTACTGTCAGCATATTTTAGTCATGCAGTTATCCATCATGATAACTATCGGTTTCTTCAACCCTGATTAGCTTTGGCGATTTTCAAAACTGCTCAGAGTATTCACCTTTGAATACCCCAGCTTACACAAACTCCATGTCGTTATTAATGGTTCCAGCGGCAATTTGAGGAATCTGCAAAATAACAGAAACACTTGTATAACAAATTTTAATATGCATATAATAACTCGACTGAAGCCATCAAATGTAGTTATTTTCTTAAATGTTAAATTTATTGTATTAATAATGTATAGGTTAGAAAAATGAAGCAATATAAGACCATTTAGTTATTCGTGTATAAAAAGTGTGGCCAATTTTGTTGTAGGTTTTTCCTTTTTTAGGGTATGAAAATATCAAAAAGAACAATTTTTAACTCGAATTTGTATAGTAATTTAATTAAAAGGTACTTTCGGTATTTATGGCACTATATAATATATAATATGTATTTAAAGGAGAATTTTTATTATCGCATAGGTCGTGACGAAATTATTGTAATTGCGGATATGGGCTCTGATAGAAGACAGTTCGTGCCAGCTCGTACTGTGTAATGTATCCAAATTCATTATTGTTTAAGTAAATTACAAAACGTTTAACTATAAAATGTAGGCTCAGCAACTTAATTAATAAGTATCAGGTCATCATCCGATGAACCGTATTACCGTGGTAAACATTATTGCTGTAATACTTCAAAATTGATTACGCTTTTGTAAGCATCAGAATTGTACGAACCTTTGGGTAAAACACATTCACATGTAGTTGGGAAGAAACTCTTTTATTTAAAAAACCTAAAACCCTTCAACGATACCACAACTGCTACAGTGTTGATATTGAGAAGAATTAAAAATAACTGGAAACAACCAATGGGCTATTATTTTGTTAATACCACTTTAAGCGCCGCAACACTTAAAAGCGAAATAATAGGTTGTATTGAGAAATTGGAACGTGATGGATTATTTGTCGACTGCCTAATTACTGACATGGGATCCAATTTTATAAATTTGTTTAATGTTCTCAATTTTTCTCCACAAAATCCTTGCTTTTCAGTAGGAGATAGATCTATTGTGTACATATTTGACACACCACATTTATTAAAGGCAACTCGTAACAATTTAATCACAAATAACTTTTTAATCAAAGGAGTAAAAACATCATGGAATTATATAGAACAATTTTATAAAAAGGACTGTCGTCAAAGGAATAGACTGGCACCAAAATTAAATAGTTCACACATATCGCCTAGCAACTTTGAAAAAATGAAGGTGAAATTTCCATCACAGGTAATAAGTACAACTCTTGCTAATGGATTAGAAACGCACCTCGCTCTCGGCGCATTACCAGTAGAATCAATAGTAACTATTGAATTTGTTGAAAAACAAATTTTGGACATTTTGTTGAACAGTTTAGGAGTCCATATAAAGGAGAACTTTATAAACAACAATATTTGGATGACATAGCAGATCGAAAAGTATTCAACAAAAATGGAAAGGATATCACCACCACTGTGAAATGCTTAAAATTCTGGGTGGCTACCATTAATGGTATAAAAATTTTATGACAAAAATTAGAAGGGGTTGGGTTTACTTCGATTTCTACCAGAAATTTAAACCAAGATTGTTCGGAAATTTTTTTTGAAAGCGTCCGGCAGCAAGATGGAAATTACAGAAACCCAACTCCTATTCAATTTGAACGGTTATTCACTAAACTTTTCTGCAAAAATTATTTCTGTAGTAATAACAAGAATTGTGCCGATGATGATGGGGCACTACTTACAAAATTGAACAACTTACAACCTGCTGTTATTACTGCTACAAATCCATTAACCAAGCAAAATCAACCAGATTGAGATAATACAACTATACCAGTGATTCAGGCTGACTACCGGGAACAAAGTTTGCTATCCATAAATGCTTTTTCACATGTTGCTGGATATTTAGCAAAAAAAAATTTATCTCAGCGTTCTTGTGAGTGTTGCATTTTGATACTAAACACAACACCTGAAAGTAATGAAGAATTTTATTTTCTTATTTCAAAAATTTTTCCGATGATTCATCGTATGGACTACGTCACACCCCCAGTATTAAATTTTTGTCATACATATACAAATTAGAAGAAATCTTTTTTAATGATTTTAATAAGTTGGTTAAAGATCGTGTGGCTATGAATATGAAAGAAAAATTTTGTAGCGATCCGCAGACCAGTTCAGATTTTGGTAATTAATTATTGATATTTTTATTCATTCTCGGATAGAGGGGATCGCTGCTCGACTCATCCTTCCCTTCCTTTTCTTTTGTCTAATTGTTATAGTTGTAATTGTTTGATTGGTTAAACCACGCGTTGACCAATAAGATTATTCTTAGAGTTAAGAGCGTTCAGGGGGAAAACGTTTTCCTTTTGTTTTCCTTCCCTCTCTTTTGTTTAATTGCTGATGTTGCAATTTCTAATTGGTTGAGCCATGTGTTGGCCAATAAGGACTTTCCTAGAGGAAAGAGCGTCCAGCTAGTAAAGGTTTAAATATTGANAACTCCCCCAACTTTCACCTTTCCATGTTGCACTCTTGACCTTCAGTCCACCTCAATACGCCAGCCTGAACGGACTCAATCAAATATATTTCATTTCCTATTAACGTTCGGGATAAGTTTTGACATCCTTTATTATATTTTTTAAATTCATTCACATCTTTAATGTTTTAACGATTTTACACAAATAATTTTTACAACTTCTTGTACCTACTCATACCCATCAGTTTATAAATTTATACACGGAAAAGTTTTTGGTGTTTTTCAACAATATTTTCATATTTCATTGGAGACAATCTCATAAATGATTTTACAAAGACTCAATGTATTCCTGAAAACCCTCAACTTGATGCTCCTCGTTTGACGGTAAATATTTTTTATTTTTTCACTTGTAACTATTTTAAGATTTGTAAGGATTCTTTGATCAATTAATTTTAAATTCCACATATGTACAAATTTAATTTAATCTTTATTTGTTGTTTCTCGTAGTCGTGCCTGATGAGGAACGCCAGGCGTTCGAAATTGTCAATAGCACCGAATTTACATTAATAAATTTAATTATTCATCGTTCTTTCGAGTTTATTTTCTTCAATACCTTACGATGAACCCGGAATCTACAATTTCTAAAGAGTATTTGAGTTCTTCGTTGTGGTATTTCGAAAAACTCAAATTTTTGGAACATCAGGAATGTTCTAGAGAAGGAATATATCATGGATGCCTTCAGCGTCATATATCATGATATATTAACGTAAATATGTGAAAACTTTCTTATATATTTTGTACATTGTATTATTTTATTTTTTTTATAAACAAACCGAGTCTGCCGATGAAACATTTGTGACACCACCATCCAAAAAACGAAAAGTCACAGCTGAAGACAATTTATTGAAAATAGTTTTCCAGAAATTAACGGTTGATGGTGACGACGCCACATTTGTTTTAGCAAAAGGATGGGTAACTCAACATGAGGAGTTGTGGAAAGCACAAAACATTTTCACAAGAACGATATTTACAGACGTTCTTTTTCATGGATCTCTGGATATACTTACTGAAAAAACTGTTGAAGGCTGACTGTTGAAAAGCCAGTGACGAAACTGTTTATTGAAAAGTCATGGTCGGCGTTGGTTTTGTTTAAACAAGGTCGTAGGGCTTGTATGCCCTACGACCTTGTTGCGTTTAGTAGTTTAGAAGGGTAGGATGAAAGTACAAATAGAGTCAAAACGTGCTCTATTATGAGTTAAACATATTCCCCAAATTTCATTTTCCTAGCGTTTATGGTTTTTGAGAAAAAAAAATTTAACCAAAATTTTCCGCCATTTTTGGAGGGGCGTAGCTCCCCAGGGGGGCCGAAGTCGCCCATGCTTAATATATGAAAGTACCCTTAAAATTCACTAAAGAATCACCCCTTGAAGTTTGTTGCAGTCATTCAGATAAACCCTGTATATTATATTCCTGGTACAAAAACAGAAAATTTTCGAAGAAAATAAGAATAAATTGTTTTCAGTCTACCATGAGCATCTTTCGTATACCTTGTGGTAGCGAACGTGTTAATATATTAAAGAAAGGATTAAGTTTGAAGAACAAGGGAATGAATCAACAAATTTGATCGCTAACACTGCATCAGTATTTATGTTGACGAGTATAAATAACAAATGGAAGCAAACTATTTGTAACTTCTTTTCCCAGAATGCAACTAATAATTTTGATTTGATCTTGATGTAATAGCCACCATATGTGATCACGGTACAGGAAATGTTGCGGCTATCAATCAATTAACATCAAAATCTAAGGCACATTTGTTAAAAGGTGTTCGTAACCGTTTAATTGAGAAAAACTTGACATACATGAACAAATGTCAATAAGTGAAATTCTTGCCATGCCAAAATTGAAGGATGACCATGTAATTCCGTGTCATCAAAGTGTCGCGTGCTAGCCAAACTTTCAGTTATAGTTATTCTATAGCTTCAGTTATGGCAGTATTTGTACGATCAGGTAGCAAAAACAATCGTTTTTGGTAAAATTTATAGAATGATAATTGCATTTTGAACTTCACAGGCACAACTAGTGTAGATGGAAGAAAACTGGATCAGTCTGCAATGGACACTTATATAAAAAATTTTCAACGATTTATTTGATAGTGTCAATTCCAGCCAGGTAGCTCCAAACACAAACAAACGATTGCGTTGTGCACTAACAACAGAATCGCCTCATCTCCATTTTTGGCAGAATGCTAAAAAGATCTTGTCTACAATGAAATTTGTATACAAAAAAGGCAGCAGATCAACACCATCTATCAAGAACTGGATTGTTACATTAAACAGTTTGCTAGGCATTTTCAAATATCTCCAAGAAAGGTATGGTATTTCAAGTTTAAAAACACGGATATTGAAAGAGGATCCAATAGAGAATTTCTTTGGACAAATGAGGCATGATTTCTTACTATTGAGACTTCAATATGACGCTAAGTCTAACAAAAAAATCCAACAATACTTTTTTTGTTTAACTGTGGAACAATTGAAGTGAGTTTTCTGCGGAAAAGTTCCAAAAGTAATGGATTAAAAACTAATTGACAAACAAATGGGAGTATAATAAATTGTATTCTACATTATTAGCTTAATTTTTTTTTAACCTATTGTTATTCAATAATGTATTGTTGGCAATAATGAAAATCATGGAAAAAATGCTTTACACATAGACTGTTTATACCATGCACAAGTTATAACAGCCAAATTCCCATAGTTATCCCATATTGGTTTGTCACTCGAAAAAGAAATCTCCACGGGATTTTCAAACTGTTCTGGTGTTTTGACATATATCCACTTGCAAACTACATGTATTCAATTACATTAATAAATCGCGTTGAAGACAACTAGTTATGCGTTGCTGATTGCAATTTTAAAGTATTAACTCGCTGATACAAATTGACATCGTACTGGTAGAGAATAACTTGATCCGAAGGAGTTGAATTCAAGGGTTGCATTTGGCCTGTTCTCTTTATAGGTATCGAAAAATATTTAAACTTAAGATCTGATCCACTCCAACCATCCAGTAATAAATGATTTACAATTTATACATGCAGGTCATTTGGGCATAGTTAAGTGGAGAGAAAGAGCAAAGTTATCTGTTTGGTGGTCAGGAGTATCAAGTCAAAAACAAAATTTAATTAGGACATGCCCTAAATGTGTAGAATCACGTGTAAATATCAAAGCAACTTTTCACAAGAGTCAGCAAGCAGTTTATTTAAGAAACATGTATGGTACTTCATTGTAACTGATTATTTATTACTAGAGATTTTTCGAAATTTTCAACTTGAGAGGGATGACTAAAATAGCAATTATCACCAAGCTGAAGGAATTATTTTCAAAATATGAAATAACGGACAAGGTGCGATGAGATAATGATCTACAAATTCAATCACAATTTAAAGAATTTGTGACAAAATACGACTTCAGGCATGTTACAAGTAGCCCTTACTATAGCCAAATGGTTGTGCAGAAGCTACAGTAAAGACGGCGAGAGCTTTATTGAATAAAAATGATGATACATATATGGCTCTTCTGGCGTACTACTCTATTAAGCAATTAGTTTATCAGAATTATCGTTGAACAGAAGGCTAAGAAAGAAGGCCTTTACTCCCTAATAAATTGTCCGTTTCAACACAGTCAGTAGTGTGTAGAGAGAAAGAAGAGAAAGAGAAACAGAAAGCAAATTATGATAAAAGACATAGATGGAGAAACAAATGGAGAAACGGTATGAGTCACAAAGCTTAGGAAATACGGAAGAATTGATGGTAAGGCAAATCTACAGTCTAGAGACGAAATAAATGGTTTTCAGTACCAGCAATTTTACCACCAGTTCTTTGTCCTAGATATTAAAAGAATCTTAAAAGAAAAGACATTTCAAAGTTATACAGTTCTTTTTTTTTATAATACCTGTTAAATTATTGTAAATTGGCAAAATTAACAGGGAGTTTTGTTTTATCATGTTTTGAAATAAATATGACACACTGACGTTTGTTTGAGCTTTCGTTATTCAAAAGTCAAAAGTAATAAAATTGAAATAAAATGAACGCAAGAAAAACCCAACTTATTGAGAATCCAACTAAAACGAGCGTCACTAAGGTCACAAATTCGAAACTACAAATTTGAAGCCTGATATATCAGAACAAGAACTAATTATCTATAACAAACCGCATTTTGGGATTCGAAAGCGATTAAAAAATAAAAAGTAATACATTGTAGTAATTGTAACAAATAGTATTTTGGGGACTAGAAAACCGATTAAGCAGTAAAAGCAATACATTGTAGTAAACAGTAAGAACCATTGTAAAGGCTGAATTTGTAATTTAATTACGAAGTTGCGTCGTGAGAACCGAGGGTCCGGTCCAGACTAAATACTACGTAGGCGGTTCTGGCAGGAATGTGCCGAGGTGGCAGTAAGAGTAGATGGAACAGGGAAGAAATGAACAAAAAATCAGGGAGTCGGTTACGGGATTGGATCGGAAAAGCATCGGGCGAAACCGGGAACTTAAAGTTTTTGGTGCGTTTTAAATTCGAGACGTGCGATTTGAACTTATAACAATTTAGTTATAAAATTCGTTGTATTGGATTCTTTTTCTTCGTTGAATATTTTATTTTAACAAATGGGCGAGCGTTATTAAAATCTTATAACATCTGATTTCTCATTGAACCTGCTAACCACCTCGGCAAATTTCGTAATAAGAGTAAATGTATCACAGCTAAATTGTTGAATAGACTACGTCGTATAATTTTTACTTTTTAAAATCTTTGTTCAGTTGTTTTTTTATATAATATAATTCGTTCCTTTTCAAAAATAAAGTAAATTTATTCTTTAACAGTGAAATTTCGTTTTCTTTCAATCTATTTTTATTCTTAATTCCAAATTACTGCCGTTCGCTTTCAAGTGAAGGAACGCAGTGTGCCAAACCCTAACTTACAATTAGTCATTGCTAGCTATCAAGAAAAGGGTAGTGCGTGGACAGTTGGGTACACGAGCCGCTCCGTGGACCTAGCTAGGAAACCCACTACGGGAAACGAGAAGTTCTTGAGAGCTAGTTTGTGACATATCCATCTTTGTGAAATATTTAATGTATTTTAGTATTTTAACAAATTAGTTTTCTTATTTATTATTTATCATGTTACTAATACAGTTATTTACAACATATAGACCTTACCAATAAAGAAAGTTTGCAAAACCCAAAAAGCACAAACCGGAACGAAAGAAAAGAACAGCTTGCAGTTGAAATTTTTCAAAAATTATTTAGAGGGAAACATTTTAACCTAAATGAACTATTATATTTTGCAAAAAGAGAACCCGAATTCACTAGTTCATGAAATTTATTATATGTATGCAGTAATTCGAGACATGGGTTAAAACAAAATTGAAAAAATTAATAGTCAAAAAATTTATGGAATTATTAATGGAAAGAAATCATGTGATACAGCTAATATGGTTTTTTAGGAAATTGCTTGTTACTTTTTAATAGCAAGAATACTGACAAAGATTACCACACGACGATAAATTTGCAAATCTTTTACAACTGGGTTAACAAAAATCTAATTCCAGCAGTGCACAATTTATCTGGCAAAAATGTAGTGATAATGCTGTAGGGATCATCAAAGAAGTGATGATATAAGGAGATATAAGATATATAAGATATAAGGAACATATTTCTAAGAGCAGCTCCGCATTCAATAAACATTTACAGGAAAACCAACACAGTTCAATTATTGATAATATAGATTTGGTAAGGCCTCTTCTTAAGTCTAAAAAGATGGACTTATTAGAGGAGTTCCATATTCGTGATAATGATAAAGAGTTATTAATCAACGACAACATCGAGTTCAATGATCACAGATATTTTTTGAAATTTTTTGAAAATTCCCGCCCACCGATCGACCTGAATCGTCATGCGCAATCCGTTTCATTGTAAGTGCAGTCTGCACCAAGTTTTCTTGGAGTACGCAGCTCATTACATTTGTTTTTCACTTTAGAATTAATTTTATGGTAAGATTATTACAAAATTAAATCCACTCAATAATTTTCACTTTTACATTACAGTTAATAGCGATTCATTTCTCATATAAGTTTATTCGCGAAAATAAAAGGGTTTTTTTTGCATAAAACGTACACAATGTAAGTGACGCCATTTTGTTTCAACGTTTTTTGTTAAGTCAGTTTAACGGTTTTTTAACTTTTTGATTTTGTTTCTAGTTGTTACTGTTTCCCCCCATTTTGCTAATGTTTAAGAAAGAATTTTAATAGTTTTTCGCGGTTTTCACTCCACAAATTTCACTAAGATGCTTTGATATGTCGTTGATGATCTTCTTCTGCAGAATAACAGTGAAGTGTTGCGACTTGTTTCTTATCATTGTCAGCATAATGCAATTGAACTAGGTTGAGCCTATTGCAAGACCTTTTATAATAAACATATCAATGATGTCCTTCAAAGAAAAAAAATGTGTCAGTAATGTGTGGCATACTGCTTTGTTAAATTGTACAGCAGAAGTATGGAACAATTGTATACATCACATTTAAAACATAATTGATAATGTTATATAATGTAGTAACATTATTATTATTTATATTGGTATTGTGACTTCAGGTCTACTTGTATCAAAATTATAATAGTTGTGTACACTGTTAGTTAATAAAGTAAATATAATAGCTAACTGCTAGTAGTTCGCTTTATTAATAAACAGAATATAAGATAGGGTGTCAGGTGTATAAAAAAAAAGTGAATAAAATGGAGTTTAAACCACCGAAAACATTAGATTTTTCTAATAATTCTGCGGAAACATGGGTTATTTGGAAACAAAAGTTTAATCTTTATATGAAAACTTACAACAAAAAGAAGAACAAACAATAGATGCATACATTACGGAGTTGCGTACACAAGCTGCATTATATGAATTTAAGTGTGAAAATGATAAATGTAAACAAACATAGGAAGATAGAATGATAAGAGACAAGCTAGTTACAAGTATTTTTGACAAAAACGTGCAACAAAGATTGTTGGGAGAAAGTGATATTTCCTTAGAAAAAATTCAAGGTTATTGTAAATCAATTGAATTAGGAAAATATCACGCGCAAGTATTAAACCCTTTAAAAGAAATAAACCAAGTAAAGAAGAAATGTAATTACTGTGGATTACAACACGAACCAAGAAAATGTCCCGCATATGGTAAAACATGCGCAAATTGTCAGGGTCGTAATCACTTTGCAAAAGTTTGTAAGAAGGACAAGAGAACACAAGAACAAGAAGAACGAAAAGGAACACCAAAAGAACAGAAAAAAGAAAAAATAAATGAAGTTCAAGAAGATAACAATGAAGAGGAAATTTCAATAATAAATACCGAAATAGAAGAAAAGGAAGATGTAGAATTGTTCATTTACTCTGTAACTTGTAAGAAAAAAAATTGCTGGTATGAAAACTTAAAAATATTAAATAATGAAATTAAATTCAAATTAGATACAGGTGCTGACGTAAGTGTTTTACCTTTACATATTTTCAATAGCTTAAATGTAAAAAAACAATTGGATTTAACACCTATTACGTTAGTAGCTTTTGGCAATAATAAATTAAAACCTGTAGGGAAAATAGATTTATCTTGTGGTTATAAAAATGTATCAAAGATTATTAGTTTTGTTGTTGTAAACATAAAAACAGAACCATTGTTAGGTTTAAGTGATTGTTTAAAATTTAACTTGTTAGGTAGAATTAATACTTTAAATAAGATTGATGAACAAACAGAAATGCCTAAAAACAAAACTGAATTATTGGAAGGTTACCAAGATTTGTTTGATAGCTTAGGTGAAATAACAGGTACATGTAAAATTGAATTAACAAACAGTGCTATACCTACAATTCAAGCAAAAAGAAAAATTCCGTTATCATTAAGACCAAAATTAAAAGAAACTTTAGAGAATTTAGAGAAAAAAGAAATAATTTCAAAAGTGGACCAGCCAACTGATTGGGTAAATAGTTTGATGATTGTTGAGAAACCTAATGGTCAGTTAAGGTTGTGCCTGGATCCAAAACCATTAAATAAATTTATTAAACGTCAACATTTTATGATCCCGACTAGTGAAGATATTTTTACTAGATTGGCTGAAAAAAATGTTTTTACGGTCATGGATATGAAAGAAGGTTTTTGGCAACTAAAACTAGATGAAAAAAGTAGTGAACTATGCACTTTTAATACTCCATTTGGGAGATATAAATTTAACAGATTACCATTTGGTATATCTTCAGCTCCAGAAATATTTCAAGCTACAAATTTTGAAATTTTTGGTGACATACCTGATGTTGAAATTAATTTTGATGATATTATTATATCAGGTAAAACAGAAAAAGAACATGATTTAGCACTCAGAAAAGTTTTTGAAAGAACGATGATTTATAATGTTACATTTAACAGTAATAAATTGCAATATCAACAAAATGAAGTTACATTCATGGGTCAAGTTATATTAAATAATTGTATAAAACCAGATGAAAAAAATTTTGTAGCAATTAAAAAGTTAAAAACACCAAATAACAAAACTGAATTGTTAAGAATTCTTGGTCTACTCAAATTTTTTACGAAATACATATTTAATTCAACAAAAATGAAAATCTTTGCTAATAATTGGAATTTTAAAAATAAATGTTCTAGTCCTTATAATAGTCAATCAAACGGATTAGCAGAAAAAGCAGCGGGAATTGCAAAAAAGATGTTGAAAAAGTGTAAAAATTATAGTGATTTTATAATTGCTTTAACTGAATACAGAAATTCTCCTTTACCACAATTAGGTTGTTCAGCTATTGTTAAATAGAAAGATTAAAACAAAAATGCCAACAACAAATAAAGATTTAGAACCAAAAATAATGGAAAAAGAAATAATAAAGAAAAAATGAATGATAAGCAGAAAAGTCAAAAATTTTGTTATGATAGAAATATAATAATATGATATAATAATATCATCAAAATTAATCAAATGTAAAAGATTTAAAACCATTGAGTATTAATGACACTGTTTTAATTCAAAATCTAATTAATCATCAATGGAAAAGAGGGAAGATAGTAGGAAGAGTTAATGAAAGGTCTTATGAGGTGCTAGATGAAGAAAGATGAAAGTAGAGAAGAAATAGAAAATTTTTAATCAAGTCAAACTTTGAGTTTGAGTAATATTAAAAATCCATTAATTTATGACATGGATCTAATTGAAAATAAATATTTTACCTCTAATTTGACACCTAAAACGAAAACGATTACTCAACCTACTACCACAAATACAGAAACTACTACACAAAATAACGAAAATATTGAACCTGGCCAGCACGGTCACCTGATCTTAACCCAATCGAAAATCTATAGGCTTTGGTGGAAAACAGTTCAACAAAAATGCCAACTTTTCGATTCGCAACGTTGATAATCTGCGCCGCAACATTACAGTTGTGTGGGAATTGTTTCATGGCAAGGATGAATGCGAAAGATTAGTAAATTTGATGTTCACCAGATTGCAATGTTGCATAGAGAATAATGGGTAAGTATTATACAAAATACTGATAATATTTGATGGTATAATGGATCGTATAAAATTCTCCCCATTTAGATTATTATAATATTTATTATATTTTATATGTATAATAATATATTATATTTTTTGTTATATAGGAGTATTATATTTTATTAAGCCGACGTTACACGTCGCAATCGACTGCTATGGCGGTAACTACGGAAGGGTGTGGTTGGGCGTGGTTTGACTGCTAGCGTCAAATTGGCGTGTTTAATCGTCAAATTTCCGTGATATACCGAAAGTAGAAAATTTTCTAGCCTTCGCAGTAGCTTTGCTCGCAGTCATTACTATGGTAATAGACATGTTACACGCAAATTTTGACGGGAACCTGTGGGAACAGTCAAACCACGCTCCTCCATAGTTGCCGCCATAGCAGTCAATTGCGACGTGTAACGTCGGCTTTATATTAAAATGGTTTGCGATATATGAAGCGCCTAATTTCAAAACCGGACATATCACATTTTGTTCAAATGGCTGATTTCGATACAAAGTGGTGGTGTTATAAGGCAGCTGTTGATCTGTTAGGTATTACATGTTCAAAACCGGACGTATTCAATATTATTCATATACGCAACATAGCACTTTGTTTCAAATCCGAACAAGTCCAAGGCGCATTAGTTTCTAAAACGGACGTGTTCATCGTACCCAATAAGAAACGTTATTCACGTCACGTGCGCAGACTGCGCAGTGTATGTACGCAACTGCACGTGTTCGGAACTGCATATTTGGTGTATCTTCTTCGCATATTGCGGTTTATGAATTACTATGGCGTCATTTATAAAGGAAGTAGTAGATTCAAAATGTGCTCGGAAGAAAGGTATTAATAGACAACATTGGAAGACTGAAGTACAAAGAAAAGAACGGTAATGCACGTTACACATTGTTATTACATTTTCCACGGCCTTTTTTGCAATTATAGGTACTCCTGCAAGAATTTACATTCGCAGTTGATGAATTGTAACCATGGTCATGGTACATTTAAGTGTCCTTCGCTTACAATTCCCGATATTCAAATTTTCAAGGACATATTCTATAAAAATGCAAACAAATTGCAACAAGACCAGTTAATTACAAGATTTTGTGTTTGCTTCCCACCTGCTAGAAAACGTGGCAAGGAAAATAAAAAAACCAAAGGTATGTCGATTGCATATTTTGTTAAAAAACAGGATGGTACAGAAGTGCGTGTATGTAGAGCCGCATTTCTCAATATTCTGGGCATCACTAAACACCGAGTTTTGGGTGTACTCGATCGCTTTTATAAAACTGGGAAGGTATTAGAAAACCGAGGCGGTAATCGCAAAAGCACCCTTATTCTAAAAAGCTAGAAGCTGTTAAAGGGTTCATAAAATCACTAAAAGCACTAGAGTCACATTATTGCAGAGAAAAGTCAATTAGACAGTATTTATCATCGGAACTGAATATCTCAAAGCTTTATAACATGTTTCTTTCTGAAAACACTAACGACGAATTGGCAACTATAAAAAAAAGTTACTTTCGACACGTTTTTGTTACGTTCTTTAATGTTGGTTTCGGCTCTTCCAAAACAGACGCCTGTTCTACATGCTTAGGTATCAGTGAGAGCCTAAAAATAGAAAAAGATACCGAAAAGAAAAACAAATTAAGAACAGATTTGAGAGTACATAAAGCACGAGCAAAAGGTTTTTATCACCTTTTAAAAGAGAAAAAGCAAGGATGAATGACATTTTCTTATGATTGTCAAAAAAATTTAGTTTTGCCGAGGGTCGCTGATCAAAAAGCATATTATAGTCGTCAGCTATACTGCTATAACTTTTGTGTAGTCAAGGGTTCGTCAAAAGACCCACTTCGACAAAAAAATGTTTTCACATACTCGTGGTTAGAAACTGAAAGTCCGAAGGGTTCTAACGAAATAGCATCAGCCTTACATCATTGTCTAAAACGTAATGAATCGGAAATGACGGGTGTTAACACTGTTCGGTTGGTATCCGATGGCTGTGCCGGCCAAAATAAAAACACTATTATTTTGGCAATGGTAATGAAATGGTTACTAGAAGCTTCAAAGCAGGTTAAAAAGGTGGAAATAGTGTTTCCTATAACTGGACATTCGTTCATGCCTCCTGATCGTGTTTTTGGAATGTTAGAAAAAAAGTTCAAAAAAAAGGAGACCATCGTAGATCCCTCGGAATACCATGCTATTTTTCAAGAACAAGGCACTTTGTTTCTACTTGGACGAGACTGGTTTGTTCGTAATTGGAAAAGTGCGGCACAAAAAGTGTTGAAATCTCCAAGTTCATTACATTTTAAAATATCACAAATCAAACGTGTCCTTTTAGAATAAACAAAGAATAGCATCTTAGTAAATGGAGAACATTATTATAACAATACCCTTATTAACCCAAAATCTATTACCAAAAAAGGGAAAAAGGTTTCGCAAATAGAACCACAGGTAGTAGAAATAGGAAAAAATGAAGTCAAGTCCGAAAAACTGAAAGACGTGATTATGCTTTTGACTCTACATTTTGGCCAGAACTGGAAGGACCAAGAGAGATGCAAATTCTATTCATAGTTGTTGCCTTTCGAGGAGACTACTGACAGCGAAGACGATGAACCTCTCTGCGAATTTGTGCAAGAGTCTGGCTATGTTTAATTTCACTTTTTTTATGTTACTATTACAAAATAAATTACGTTTTGCTGCAATCAATGTGTTTCTTTTTTTGGTAATTTTTTTAAAATCAGGAACCAAGTATGTTGACACTTTTATTAAACTCATCTAATCAGATGCCGATCCAATTTCATATCGCTTTTTGAACAGTAATTCACGAAAATTCAGGTCTTATTATCAAAACGGGACAAATCCCATTTTCAGTATCAGTACCGGACATATCCACTTAAAAAAAATATTTATTTTTTTAAATTATGGAAAAGTCTTAACCAAAAACTTGTAAAAATATATTGTAAAATATATAAAATGGTTGAGTTATAAATTGAAATATGTGGTTAGTCAAATTTCAGTTAACTAGGACGATGGAACACTTTTTTCTTTTTTTCTCGAAAACTTTTTTAAGTAAATGTCCGGTTTTGAAACTAGGCGCCTCATATTTCAATATACTTACAGCCTGATTCAGAGTAAGCGCCTTATTTTTTTGTAGCCACACTATGGGTACTACTTGCAAAATATTTGGCAGTAATATGTTTTAGGACATTCTCTACACAATGGTGATATCATATTTTCAATTGGACGAATTATTTCAAAATGGCGACTGTCAACTTTTATGTTTAACCCTTTCAAGACGGTTGTCGTATATACCCGTCACCAACTTTTTTGGCAGACGGACGGCTGTCGTATATAGCCGACAGCAGCTCATTTCCCTTCTGTACGCTTGTCGTTTCAGATATGGCATACATAAATTTTTAATTTGGCCCACCGACGGCCGTCGTACCGTTCCGACAGTTTGTGTTTGTCACACAGACGGATGTCGTGGATATCCGACATTGTCGTACATACGCGGCAACATGGCAAGGTCAGGTGATACCCTGATAGACCACGTGCGTTTAGTACCAGTCTGTTTTAGAACATGTTTTAGAATGTCATCTAAAAATCACGCGGGTCCGTCGGGTTGTAATACTTATTGTGGACTGTCTGGGAAGGAAGTGAAAAATATTATGAATGCTCTGAACGATAGTGATATATATTTGAGTGAGGACGAACCATTTATCGACAGTGGCAGCGAATATATCCCTGACTCTGACAGTGAATTGAGCTCCGGAGAAGACGACGAAACCTTGTTGGAAGACGAAAATACCGAAGAACAAGAACATTTAGTAGCTTCGGATATCTCTGATCAAAATATACGTGAGGAGGAATTTCAGCTAAAATGGGATTCACGTGAGTTTGTTCCTAAAGTTCACCAGTTTGACGTCACTAATAGTGGACTACAGAATAAAAACCTAAAAAATGAAAACAAGGAAATAGAGTATTTCTTGAACCTATTCTCGGAAGAAGTAGTCAACACTATTGTTGCAGAAACCAATATTTTCGCTCAACAACAAAATGCTAAAGATTGGAAAAACGTTGATAAACAAGAGTTTTACAATTTCATAGCCCTCACATTGTTGATGCCCCACGTTAAAAAGTCCGATGTAAAGGACTACTGGTCTACAGATAATTTAATTGGCACGCCCTTTTTCCGCCAAACAATGTCTCGAGATCGCTATTTACAAATACTAAGGCACTTACATTTTAGTAATAATCAAAATGCACAGGAAGGTAATCGTCTGCACAAAATCGAACACGTTTTGAATTTGATACAAAACAATTTCAAAAGTAATTTTTATCCGTTTGAAAATGTCGTCATTGATGAAAGTATGATTCTTTTCAAAGGGAGGCTGTCCTTCAAACAGTATATAAAAACCAAGAGACACCGTTTCGGAATAAAAGTTTATGTCTTATGCGATTGTGAAACAGGTTATGTTTTGGGATATTTGGTATATACTGGCAAAAATAATGTTAAAAATAGAGATAATGACAGCGGTCTAGGATTGTCAGGTGATGTTGTTGTGAAACTTTTGGAGCCCTACCTGAACAAAGGCCATTCATTTTACAGTGACAACTACTACACAAGTCCTACTTTGGCAAATTATCTTTTTCAGCACAAAACAAACTCTTGCGGAACTGTTCGCATAAATCGTAAACACATGCCAATATTTGAAAAAAAGCTGAAGAAAGGGGAAACAGAGTGGCGTAGCAGTGAGCAAATGCTAGTATTGAAATGGAGAGATCGTCGTGACGTGGTAATGCTGACCACCTTTCACGAAAATAAAATGATTACGCTTAGTAAGGTTGATAGGGTTACTAATGAAAATAAGACCAAACCATTATGTGTACTGGCTTACAATGAAAGGATGGGGGCAATTGACAGAAGTGACATGATGATTACCAGTACGGATTGCACGCGAAAAACCTTAAAATGGTACAAGAAATTATTTCTTCGTACCCTCGATATATGCATGCTAAATGCGCATGCTTTATATAAGACCCAGAATGCCAGTAACATCTTATTTCCTGCCTTCCATTTAGAAGTTATCCGGCAGCTTCTGGAAAGGTATTTTTATTCTTTTATTTTTGTAAATTTTTTATCGTACGCATTTTTTAGATATCCAGCGCAATACCAAATGAAACAAAACATACAACCTCCTACCGTGGCCAGACTATTAGGAAAGCACTTCCCTTCAGAAGTTCCTCGCAAAAATGGGAAAGCGCAAATGAGAAGATGCTGGGTCTGCTCGCATACAACAAACGGTGCAAAAAAAAGGAAAGAATCGAGATTCATGTGCAAAGATTGTGAAGTCGGGCTCTGTGTTGCACCATGTTTCCAAATATACCACGAACAGATCAAATATTAGTAGTAGCAGTAGAAACGGGGAAAAAAGACTAGATCAGAAGAAAAGGCTCACACTTATTTTTGATATTTTGTTCCTAATATTTTTATTATTTGTTAATTTTTGTTCTTATATTTTTGCTTTACCAAAGGCTTTAAGTTAATTAAGGTAATTAAGATAATTTAAGTGTCGTATATATTCGACAAACGCCTGTTTGCAGCAAAAAATCCGTCAGTGTGGCACACAACTTACTTTTGGGTGGTCTTAAAAAAGTTAAAAATACTTACAATGGAGAAGAACCCTTTTCACTTTCAACAGCTTCCGTTTTGGGTTGATCACCAGAAGCTTCAACGGTTTTTAAAGCTTCACCCCCACCACCGCCATTGCTCGACTGGTCTTTTTCGTCATTTTGAGAAATTGGTTTAACCTGATCGTT